GCATTGTCCTGTGGACCAAATGGTCATGGATTCCATTCCTGGTCATAGCACATGACTGGGTTGCAGGTTTTTGTCTCTGGTCGGGGCAGGTGTGAGAGGCAGCTGATTGATGTTTCTCTCCCTCTAAAATTGATGAGTTTGTCCTCTGGTGAGGATAAAAAAAAGTACTTTATTTTTAAAAAAATATTTTTTATTGATTATGCTATTACAGTTTTCCCAATTTTCTCACCTCTATCCCTGCTCCGCCCTGCCCCCACAACCTTCCAGCATTCCCCCTGCACTGTAGTCCACATCCATGGGTTGTACATGTAAGTTCTTTGAGTTTTCTGTTTCCCATACCATTTTTTCTTCCTTCTGTCTACCTTATCCCTACCTACTATACTTCTTCTTCCCTGTCCCCCCCCCCCCCCCCCCCCCCCCCGTTCTTCCCTTCCCCCATCCCACTGAAATCCCTCCATGAGATGTCTATTTCTCTGATTCTGTTCCTGTTCTGGTTGTTTGCTTAGTTTTTGTTTACATTGTTTTTCTTTTCTTTTAGGTTCATTTGTTGATAGTTGTGAGTTTGTTGTCATTTTACTCTTCATATTTTTTATCTTCTTTTTCTTAGATAATTCCCTTTAACATTTCATATAATAAGGGCTTGGTAGTGAAGAGGCCTTGAACTTGACCTTATTTGGGAAGTACTTGATCTCCCATTCTAAATGATAGCTTTGCTGGGTAGAGTAATCTTGAATGTAGGTCCTTGCCTTTCATGGCTTCAGATACTTCTTTGCAACCCCTTCTTGCCTGCAAGGTTTCTTTTGAGAAGTCAGTTTATAGTCTAATGGGAACTCCTCTGTAGGTAACTCTTTCCTTTTCTGTTTGCTTTTAAGATCCTCTCCTTGTCTTTAATCTTGGGTGTAACTTAATGATGATGTACCTTGGTGTGTTCCTCTTTGGGTCCAACTTGGGACTCTGAGCTCCTGGGCTTCCTGGAAGTCTGTTTCCTGTGTCAGATTGGGGAACTTTTCCTTCATTATTTGTTCAAATAAGTTTCAATTTCTTGCTTTTGTTCTTCTGCTGGCACCCCTATAATTTGGATATTGGAACATTTTAGGTTACCCCAGAGGTTTGTAAGGAATGTTTTAGATTATCCCAGAGGTTTGTAAGAGTCTCTTCACTTTTTCAAATTCTTTTAAAAAATATTTTATTTGTTTATTTTTTAGAGAGAGTGGAAGGGAAGGAGAAAGAGCAGGAGAGAAGCATCAGTGTGTGGTTGCCTCTCATGTGTCCCTTACTAGGAGCCTGGCCCACAACCCAGGCATGTGCCCTGACTGGGAATTGAACTGGTGACCCTTTGCCTCACAGGCTCATGCTCAATCCACTGAGCCACACCAGCCAGGGCCTTTTTTGAATTCTTGTTTATTTTGATCTGGATGGATGTTTATTTTTTTCCTTTTGTTCCAAATAGTTGCTTTGAGTCCTGGTTTCTTTCCTGTCACTGTTGGTTTCCTGAACATTCTGCTCTACTTCACTTTGGGTATCCTTCATTTATTCTTTAATTTTTCGACCATATGTGAGCATTTTGATGACCAGAGCTTTAAATTCTCCATCAGATAGGTTGGCTATCTCCTCCTCACTTAGCTCTCTTTCTGAGGCTCTACGGTGTTCTTTCGTTTGGACCATATTTCTTTGTCTTGGCACAGCTGATAGGTCGTAAGGGGATGGGGCATTAGGTATTCACCTGAGCAGGGCAACCCTCTTTGCTGCACAGTAGCTCTGCCTGTTGGGTAGAGAGGGGCCAGAGAGGGAGGGAGCCAGAGAGGGTACGGTGTATGGCTTGCCTGCTCATCTCTAGCGTACTTTTCAATGGACTCTGGGGCTCTCCTATGAGACTGGGAGCTTCTCCTACTGTGGCAGCCTCAGTCGTACCCCACAGCTACCTCGGAGTCCCCTTAAGTCAGCCCCTCCCATGAAACCTGCTGAGCTGGGCAGCCAGCTCCACCCCCAGTGTCCATGTATTCCAGAGATTCTCCTGAGTTGGCCGGCCATCCACCACCTTACTGGTCTGGTGGTTCTGGTTGATTTTTCCTTTAATTCCTTGATTGTCGGAGTTCCATGCAGTTTGATTTTCTGGCGCTTTTGGTTTATTGATTTAAGATCGGTTTTTGTCCTCCTTTTTGTTGTGTCAGGAAGTGAAGATGGATGCGTCCATCTTGGCCAGAACTCAAAAAAATACTTTCTTTCATGGGTAAATTAGTACTTAGAGTGAAAGGTTGCTGTTTTGGAGGGATGTCTTTATTGCTACACCTCAAAAGAAATCTCATTCCATTAAGGGTTCCTGGTGTGTCTGATAAAATTTGTAGGTAAGGGAGACACTTTGAAAAGCCTTGATTTTTTCTGAGCAGTCTTAACTTCAAAAAAGTTCTTACCTCTCATTGCTACTGCTCTTTTCCTTTACCCATTTTTTTGATTCTTGACCATAACACATACATGTAATCTTAGGAAGTGTTTATTTCACACAAAAGTAAAGCTTTGTTGTGAGTGAATCTTCCTTTCTCCCTTCCCTCGCCCGAGGACATGCTTGCCGATTGATGATGACTTGCTTATTTATTTTAGAGAGAGGGGAAGAGGGGTGGAGAGAGGGAGAAACTTCAAGGTGAGAGAAAAATGTGGATTGATTACTTCTCGTATGAGACTCCACCAGGGATCGAACCTGAAACCTAGGTATGTGCCCTAACTGGGAATTGAACCCATGACCTTTAGGTTTATGGGAGGATGCTCCAACCAACTGAGCCATACTAGTCAGGGTTTGTTTGTTTGTTTGTTTGTTTGTTTATTCATCATCCATTTATTCAAAATATTTTATTCATTTTTAGAGAGAGGGGAAGGGAGGGAGAAAGAGAGGGAAACATCAATGTGTGATTGCTTTTCATGTGCAACCCCTGCCCTCCACCTCACCCACTGGGGACCTGGCCCACCACCCAGGCATCTGCCCTGACTGGGAATCGAACTGGCGACCCTCTGGTTCACAGGCCAGCACTTAGTCCACTGAGCTACACCAGCCAGGGCTCAGGATTCTTGTAAAACATTTTTTGTTTTTCACATTTCTTGACTTGAGTGAGAGAGTCATACATCGATTCATTGTTCCACTTATGCATTCATTGGTTGCTTCTTATATGTGCCCTGACCAGAACTGAACCCACAACTTTGACTAATGGGGACAAGACTCCAACCAACTGAGCTACCTCATCAGGGTAGTACAGGTTTCAGTCAGTAGAGTTGTGGATAATGAAAATCTGAATATGAGTATAGTTAAAAAAAACCATGCCGTTTTGGGGTGAATATAATTTGGTACTAAAAACCAGTTTGTGTCAAGTTGTAAATTATTTGTGCAAAACTATTACAGATAATTATTTGTGAGAATTGGTTTGTATTTAATGAGTACTCTGGGTTTATAATATTCTATTCAGTGAGTGAGATATTTAGAAAGGACAGGAGGAAAACTAAGGCTAAAAGACAAAAATGTGGGATACTAAAAATTATTTTCAGAATAATAGGAGGATGTAATACATTGTGATAGATCCTTATGAGTTAACTTTTCCCTTGGGATTTTATTAATTTGAATTTAATGCCTGTTCTCCTCACCAAAGCCCAACGGTATTTAAAAACTGTGTTCATAGTTGATCCCAATATTAATTAAATATATCTGTGAAGTTTTGATTGGTGGCATCATAATCAGTAATACACCATTTTAAAAGAAACTCATTTTTAATTACATTTTTGTTAAGTAAAAAGAATGAAGGGATTGTACTTGATGAGTTTCTAAGATCCCTTTAAACTATAAAATGAAATGTGGTAAACTGTAACAAGTGTGTGATGAACTGTTTTCTTCATAAGAGGCTCTTTAATGCCTGGCTCCTTAGACCAGTTTCTTCCTCCATATGCCTGGGGCCATGCAAAGGCAGTTTAACTTGTATTGTACGCTTGTCTTGACCATTTGTGGAAGAGGGGACATTTTTATATTAAATGTACATTTTGAGGTAAAATTACAAAGTTGAGATTGAAGCAAATCATTTAATTTTTTTTTAGTTTTAGAGGAAAATTTCATACATATGCAAAAATAGACAAAATAGTATATTTTATTGGTCGCTCATGTAACTGTCATTCAGATTCAACAAATACCAACTGACGGCAATCTTCGGGAATTTGGTTTTATGTATGTTTGTTAAGATTTGCTGAGATAAGCATCTCTATGGTTAAGGTACCGACATCAGAAGCATTTCTGAACAAAGATGTGGCAGTTGGTGGGTGGGATGACTGTTCAGCTGTTGTGTAAGCTTGCATAAATAGTATCATCTTGACTTTAATCTGTGGTTGTTCAGAGGTAGTGAGCATATTTCTGTTTAACCCCTGGAAATGTGCTCAAATAATTTGTTTCCTCTTCATCCATGGCACCTTTGATTCTAAATAGTCTGTGAATGGAAACGGTGAGGTGATATTAGGTGCCTGTTGGATAGAACCATTGAGAAGGGAAATCTTCATTTTCAATTTGAAGAACTTTTGAGTACTACCTGGTTAATATTTTGGAGACTATAAACTTTTCATTTTTCATCTATTTGGAAGTACATTATTACCCTCATCTGAGCATAGACAGACCTGGGCTCAATTTCAGCTGTCCTTCACTCTTTATGTCTCTGAGTCTCACTTCTGTCAAAGGTAAAATGGGGTGTGGATTGTTGTGTGAATTAAATGATACAATAAATTAAACATTGATTGTACTAAAATATCACTTGCACTCTATGATGGAGTTAGGAGTATGACCTGAGTTCAAGTCTTAGATGCATTTGGGTAACTGGAATTGAGAAAGAACTGCTAACAATTACTAGGCCACTAGGAAAGCAGAGCCGATCGTCTTAATTTCTGACTGGAAGATCTAAACATAGAAAATGTTTCATTATGTTTGAACAAAGCATTAGAAAAATAATGCCTCTTAATTATTTCTTATCCAATAATTATAGCAAACTCTGGCCTGTTCTATTCTGACTGCCCTATTAAGTGAATTCTCAAGTTCAAGTAAAACTAGCAACATTGGACTGAGTATGGAATTCCATGGTAACTGCAAAAGAGTTTTTCAGGTATTGGTATTTTTGTTCTTATGTTTTAATGATCAGATTGTTCACTTTTTATACAGTCTGTTCCCAGTGCAGTGTGGACATTTATTTCATCTGGTTGAGTGACAGCCCGCACCTGAAGGTTTGTGTTGTGATTTCATAGGATATAATAAAGTGATAGGTTTGGTGAACATAAATGACAATTTAAAGATACTTATTTAATGATAGTCTAAAGACAGAACAAATAGGAAATAGTACTATAAAGACTCTTAGTTTATTTTATTTGTACAGTGTTTAGATAATAGTGCTTCAATTGGTGGGATTTTGCTGGCCTTAAAAATAGGCCTGGCAGAATGCCAATGAGGGCTGTGTATTTAAAATGTTATTGCAGATGGTGTGGGCTCTTTGTCTTGTGTGTATTGTTTGGCTCTGAAGTAAGTTATGTGAAGGCTTAAATCTGAGGGGCCTGCACTAGATCAACTGACCCCTCCAGCTCTGTCTAGTTGTCATATTCTCCTCTCCACAGAATAGCACTCATGTCACAGTAAATGTGTTCAAACTGATGTGTGTCACTTGAAAGCTCGCTGTGGTGAAAATTACGTGCAGGCCTGAAAATGGAAAATGTTCCTAAAGAAATAGTGTTTTCCATTGAAAATATTAAGGTTTTTGTTTTGTTTTTTTCTATTATGGTTCTAAAAGAGAATGTATTTTGAATAAGCTTTTGACATAAAAATACTTGTGACTTATTTACTGCAGGAAGAAGACCTTCGTCAGATCTTCATGTTGACGGTGGAAGTTCTGCAGGAGTTCAGCAGGCGGGAAAACCTCAGTGCTCAGATGTCCTCAGTATTTCAGCGCTACCTCGCGCTTGCCAATCAGGTCTTGAGCTGGAACTTTCTTCCTCCAAATTATATCCTTTAACAATGGAATAGATGACAATTATAGCTGAAAGTACCCTGTCTCTGTGGTTTGTAAAACATGTTGAAAGAATACAAGTGCTTTTATTTTATTTTTTAAAGATTTTATTTATTTATTTGAGAGAAAGGAGAAGGGAGGGAGAAAGAGAAGGAGAGAAACATCAATGTGTGGTTGCCTCTAACACCCACCTGTACTGGGAACCTGACCTGCAACCCAGGCATATGCCCCGACTGGGAATCGAACTGGCAACCCTTTGGTTCACAGGCTGACACTCAGTCCACTGAGCCACACCAGCCAGGGCAGAAAACAAGTGTTTTTAGAAGTGCAATTCTTTTATTTTGTAATACACAGTGCAGTGGACTACTTAGGGGATTTAAAATTATATTTATAACTTCGTAGAAGAAAGTTTACTAAATGGAAAACTTGGCTGAATGTTGGGACTCTTGCTCCCTAACGGAAGAGCAATAACTCTTAGGCAGAAAAAGGGGAAAGATAGGAAGTACATTTCTATCAGGCAGCTGAGTTGTTTTCTGCTTGTACAACATAATGATGTGGAATTTTTTAAAAACATTTTTATTGTATTTTTTTCCATTGTCATTTATCTCCCTGTAACTTCTTCCACGTTCACCCACTCTGCTGCCCGTTGGATGTTTTGATTGACTTTCCTTAAGGCTAGTTTGGTGTTCTCTGACTTGATCTTTATGGTGACAATATTGTACAAGTGTAGGTAACAGGGTAGTAATGTTTATTCTTTGAAGATCTTTTCTAATATAAAAATATACAAATTTTATTTCTATCAAATTATAAGTAGTACAAAAGCAATTTAAGTGGGTTAGGTTACAGATATAAATGTTTACTTTTTTAATCAGCTACTGAAGTGGGGAAGTTTGTATTTTGGAAAGCACCTCCTTAGTTTAAAGTTTACAATTTGCTCTTCCAGAACACTTACCCATTGATAGAGATTGAAGGCTGTGCTGTGTGCATCTAGGTTCAGTCTCAGCTGATCAAAGGCAAATTACTTAACCTCTCTGAGTCTCAGTTTTTCCAGATGTAAAATGGGGATGTGGATTGTCAAGTGGATTAAATGAAACAATACATTTGTAACACTCAGCAGCAATCAATTTTTATAGCTTCATTACTTATTTTGGTTGTTAAGAAGCACATAAGAATTTCTTATGTGCACTTTTTAAAAATTTCCCTTTTGGATGTTTAACAGGCCATATTGAGCTGTCAAAACATTAATTATATTTTAGGGAAGATCAACAAAAGTCACAATGCATACATCGTAGCCTTTTTAAACTGCGTTTTAGGGGAAAAGATAGTTGGCTAAAGTGTGACTATTTTGTAAATGAAAACTGTTCTGGGAGTTTGAATACAGTTTGTCTAAAGGTAAGATATTTTTACAAAGTGTTTAGATAAGTCTTTGGAAAACCTGTCATCTAAAAATTATAAACACAGGAACAGTGTTGCTAAAAAGGAAGTAACTACTTGTGTGAAGAGAAGTAGCTCTGCATTTGGACTTGGGATATTCAGCTTCCTGGCTTGCAGTGAGTTCCACCACGGCATAGCAGCCGTTTGCTAGATTGCTGAGCCACAGGTGAGCAATTGACTCCTTCCCTAAGTGGGTTAATTAGGTCCTTTAAGTGTATAGGAGAAGGAACATGGCAGTGGAATTAAAGTAAGCTACATTTTCAGGGTAAATTAAGAAAATTAGTTTCAAAAATTTCGGCTCTGTCTGGCATAATTTCTAATTTTAGCAGTTATTTGGAGATTTATTCCATCAGTGGGGGGAGAATCGAATAATTATTTAGCTTTGTATCTTGAAGAGGGTCTAATGATTAAATTTAACTTAATATATACTGGGTGAAGCAAAAGTAGGTTTTCAGTTTCTCTTTTAAACTGTGTAAAACACAGTTTATTTTTGTGTTACTATTTATTAATTATTGTATTCCATACAAAGCACTGTAAATTCACTTTTGCTCCACCCTGTATTATGTTGATGATTTTAAAAAGTGTTTTGTTTTTTTTTTAAGGATAGACAGATGAGTAGCAGGTAGACCTTGTAAAATAATGAGTATTTTAAAAATTAAATATATGTGATCATTTAGAATGGTATCATGTTAAATGAGGCTGTATTAAATTATCAATATCAATCCTTATCTATAATTTATAAGTTTTTGTAATTGGCTTTCCTTTTTTGTATCTTTTTATTTTAATGCAGTTTTAAACATACAGAAATGCTATAAGAGTAGTTCAGGGAATTGTCAGATGCCCTTTACCAAGATTTACTGATATTAACATTTCGTCCCATTTATTTCTCTTCCCCCTACACACACACATTTGTACTCATATACTTTTATGTATATATTTAAACACATTATTCTTCCTGAACCATTTAAGAACAGTTGCAGGTATTATATGCCCTTACCTCTGAATACTTCCCTGTGGGTTATCCTGTGATTAAGAATTTTGAAATCTGTGGTTGTTATAGAATGTCTTGAAAACCTATAGTACAGTTTTCAAAATCAAGAAATTAAATGTTGATATAATATTGTTAGATTTATAGTCTTATTTTAACTTGTAATTTAATTTTTTATTATTTATTTATTTATTTATTTTTCAAGTACAGTTTTTTGTCTGTTTTTCCCATCCCAGCCTCCCCCAGATTTATAGTCTTTATTTAAGTTGTCAGTTGTCTCCATAATATCCTTTTTAGCTATATTCAGTACATGGTATTTAGTTGTCCTGAGTCATATTTGATCTGGAACAGTTCCCCAGTTTTGTCTTTCATGAATTTGACATATTTGAAGAATGTAAGTCAATTCTTTAAAAATGTCCCTTGCCCTGGCTGGTGTGGCTCAGTTGGTTGGGGCATAGTTCAGACCCTGTTCAGGGCACATAACCTAGGTTGCGGGTTTGGCCCCAGGTCAGTGTGCACACAAGAGGCAACTGAGTGATGTTTCTCTTCCTCTCTCTCTGCCTCGTTTCCATTCTCTCTAAAGTCAATAAGTATGTCCCTGGTTTGGGTGTGTGTGATATTTCCCTGTGATTAGACTCAGGTTGCTTACTTTTTGTAAGACCACACCACAGTAATGACATTGTCTCCTTTGCAGTACTTTGTGTCAGGAGGCACATTGTGTCACCTTGTCTCTTTGTGGGAGTATCCACCTTGATGACTTGGTTAAAGAGGTGTCTGCCAGGTTTTTCCTCCCCCCAAACCCATGGCAACTACTGACCTTTAATCTCTTTCCATAGTTTATCTTTTCCTAGTGAAAATCAGATGGTATGTAGTCTTTCAAATTGGCTTTTTTCACTTAGTAATATACTTTTAAAGTATATTACTTTATTAAACTTTATTAAAGTTTCTCCGTGTCTCTTCAGGACTTGATAGCTTTTTCTTTTAATCACTGAATAATACTCCATTGTCTGGCTGATAGTTATCCATTTAACTAAGGAAGGACATCCTGATTGCATTCAGGTTTTGGCAATTATGATGAAACATCCATGTGTAGTTTTTGTGTGAACATAAATTTTCAACTCCTTTTAGTCAATACATACCAAAGATCACAGAAGAGTATTTTAGTTTTATAGGAAACTGCCAGATATTTCCAAAGTGACTGCATCATTTTGTATTTCCGTCAGCAGTGGAGGAGAGTTCCTGTTGTTCTGCTTCCTCCTCAGTACTTGGTGCTGTCAGTGTTCTGGATTTTGGACATTTTAGTAGGTGTGTAGTGGTGTCTTACTTGAATTTGCATTTCCCTGATGACATATGGTGAAGACCATTTTTTCAATTGCTTTTTTGCATCTGTGTATCTTCTTTGGTGAGGTGTCTGTTAAGGTCTTTGGCCCATTTTTTAAAACAAGCTGTTTGTTTTCTTATTGTTGCATTTTAAGAATTCTTTGTGTATTTTGGGTAAGTCTTTTATCAGAAATATCTTCTGCAAACATTTTCTCCCAGTCTGTAGTGTATCATCTCATTTTCTTGATATTGTTTTTCACAGAGCAAAGTTTTTAATTTTAATGAAGTTCGTCTAATCAGTTCTCTTTTTCATGGATCATACCTTTTGTATTATATATCTAAAAGTCTTTGCCAAAGCATTGGCCACCTAGTTTTTCTCCTGTATTTTAGGAATATCATAAATTTTGCATTTTACGTTTAGGTCTGTGATCTATTTTGAGTTTATATTTGTGAAAGGTATACGGTGTATGTCTAGATACTGTTCTTTTTGCATGTGGATGTCCAGTTGTTTCAGCACCATTTGTTGAAAAGACTGTCGTTTCTGCCCTGGCTGGGTGGGCTGGAACGTTGTCCATACACCAAAAAAAAAAAAAAAAAAAAATAGGTTGCAGGTTTGATTCCCTGGTCAGGGTGCATATAGGATGCAACTAATTGAAGTTTCTTTCTCATATCTATGTTTCCCTCCCTCCCTCTGCCACTCCCTTCCTCTTTTTCTAAAATTAATAAACATATCCTCATGTAAGGATTAAAATGAAATGGAAAAGATGGTCATTTCTGCATTATATTACCTTTGCTTTTTTCCTGGGTCTATTTCTGGGTTCTCTGTTCTGTGTCACAGAATCTGTCTATCCTTTCACTAGCACTACACTATCTTGGTTACTGTGGCTTTACAGTAAGTTGGATTGCATCAGTTTTACGACTTTGTTCTTGACTTTAAGGTCACAAAAATTTAATCTTGTATTTTCTTTTAAGAGTTTTGTAGTTTGAGCTCTTACATTAGTTCTGTCACCCATTTAATTTTTGTGTATGGTATAAAGTAAGGGTTCAACCTGTGTAAAATCACCTGAGTGTAAATACACCAGTGTATTTCTGGTTTCTGAAACCTGTTTCATTGATCTGAGTTTATGCCAGTGCCACACTGTCTTGATTACTGAAGCCTTGTAGTAAGTTTTGAAATCAGGAAGCATGAGTTCTCCAACTTTGCTCTTATTAAAGATTATTTTTTCTTTTCTGTGTTCTTTGCATTTCCATAT